ATGGAGAAAAGGTTCATTCATATCGCTTAAAGTCTTTATTGTATTGCTTATGGGGCTGGTAAGAATGGTGCAAGGAAGTCAGGTATACAGGTGGCTCATTATCAGTTTTTCCACACACCTTAAACTCATATGGATTTCCATCGAAGCAAAATGAACAAGGTTTACGGGATAAGTTTGCATTTGACGTGAATCACTTATGTCATTTCGATTTTTCATTGCCTCATTTCATTCACTCTGTCTTTCACTTTATCGTCTTTATCTTGATGTGGTGGTGGTGGTGGTGGTGTATGACAACTTGGATTGTTATGTTGTCTTGTTGGTTGGCACGTTGATGTTGACTTATCGACTGACTTGTTTACATTTCAAAGTGCTAAAAATTCCCATCATGAAAATTATAACAAGACATATAAGCAAACAATATTGTTTTCAATTAGATCTCATCAGGCTTCACTTTAATATATATCACTTTCAATACATATTTGTAAAATACCAACCAATCAAGGTGATTTTTAGGACAACGACAACAAGAAATACAGATTGTTAAAAGGTTAATACGAATGTTAACAATGACACGACAGTGTAAAATAGTGTTCAGATAGATATAGACAAAGTAGGTCAAAGATTGAAAAGCAAAAGCGGACAATAAGATTGTATGTGATACTGGAGGTTGAAGGCGGTGAATAACTAAGAAGCAGTATTCACCATGGACTGACATCAGTCCACATTCATCTCAAGAATAAATAAGAGTTGAATGTGAATATAGTAGTAGTGTGAAAAGGGTGACAAAATGAAATAAAAATAGAAAGGAGAGGAAGTACATTTTAAAATTCATAAGTATGGTCATTCACTAGGTTCTCCCTGGTCAGGGCACGGATAAAGGCTGTACAAACTCCTGAATACAGAGCTTTGCATTGTTTATTCGAATTCCTATAGCCTCAGCTATATGTAAAAAGTGGGTTCCAACTCCATCGGAAAAGTTCGGTGGTATGCTGTAAATCACGTTGAACGCTTTCGTCTTATCTACTCTGTGATCACTACGAACTAGATGCGACAAAACAGAGCTTCTTATAAATTTAATCTGTCTTTTATCCAACCACGAAGGTAGGTGTTCGGTGATACATTGGCTAAGTTGCTAAGTCGTACGCCCGATGTAACTGTCTCCACAGGAGCCATTAAACTGGTAAATACACAAAGACTAGTTAACTTGTCCTTCGTTTGACACGAAATAAATCTCCGAATAGAAGACATTAGATGGAGGTGAGCTGCATAAAAAGATCTTTTAATGGTTTTCGACAGTCTGTGGAACGGAATCTCACTAAGTATATCACCATTAAGTTATAACTTTATGAATAGTGGTTTCTTTCGAGGGGTTGCTGCTTCAGGTCTTTTCACCGGTCTATTCATATATTTTTTCAAATAAAATTATGAGGATAACCTATTCCCACTATAACTATATCCACTATAACTCACTCAGTGTCATGTGAGCAGATTTTCCTTTCTCTGGCTGTCAAGCATTTCACTAAGTTTCTTTTGTATCATATAGGAGCGGAACTAAGGAAGTGTGTGTATTGACATGCAGGTTTGTTTCTTCTGTGCACGCTTCTGTGAAGTGATCCATCTCGTTTTCCTAACAGAACAACAAGGAAGTTTAGCTTATTGTCCTGTTCTTCACAAGTGAAGGAAGGCAAGTGACGGGTGTATACTGTTAAACTCCCTCAATAGTTCGTTCTAATTCATATTCTGATCAATTATAATAAATGTGTCATCCATCTATCTGTGATACATAGCTAGCTTGCTAATGTCATCCATGATCCATTCTCCAGTTTGGCCAGGAAAAAGTCTGCAAGGATTGGGCCTAATGGGGGTAATCCCATTGTGATTCCATCTACTTGTCTCTAACGTGCATTATTGAAGATAAAGTGTAAATTCAATGTACATCTGAGAAGTAATTCCTTAAGGTTGGACTCAGGAATTCCGATGTTGATTTGTTTCTCAATCAGTTGTTGACACAAAATCAGTTGTCTCAGTGAGCGATACATTAGTGAATAATGACGATCTCATGCGTTTTCCACTCACATTTATCTGTCACCTTGGAGATGAAGTCGAAAATACCCTTCACACTATATTTTACAACTAGCTTGTGAAAGGACCATAGGATGTGGACCAATCATTTTGGGATTTTATGATATGGCGAGTTACACGTATCTAAGACTGGATGGAGGGGAAGTCCTGGTTTGTTGATTTTTGTTTACATTTATCATCATGTCATATCGTTTTACAATACCAACGCTTCAGAACAACCCGATTCTGTAATTTTTATAGTTTTTTTGGTATCTTAAAGAGCTCTTCGAGTGTTCTGATCGTGAATGATGACATTCTTTTTTTACTACTACAGTGAATGTTTCAGTTTTCCGAATACTTGACGATTTGATATTTAATAATTCCCACTGTGTAACATTAAGAACAAGATATTCAGCGAAGAGACTCTTTTCAACGAATTTATTTTCAAGCTGTACAATCGTATATATATGGTATTTGGAAAAAATTATATCCTGTGAGGAAAACTAAACACTATATGTTGATGACAATAATAATAGAGCGGGTGATGACATACGTATTTATAATTAAAATAACAATTGAAGTGCGAATGATAACAAATAGATTATGTAATATATGGAATGGTACATAGAGAGTATATAACTCAGAAGGGGGTGAAAAAATTGTTGAAAATGGTAAAGCAATTAAGTATTATGTAATGGCATTAGACAAATTGGACAGGATGAAGTCAATGTTTTCTAAAAGGATTAAGACAATTAAGTGAAACAACACCGGAAACTAGTTGAAGTGAAGGCGATTATAATGACAATAATAGTGATAAAGGAAGGATACAAAGGTTAAATCAACAAAGTGGGAGGGGGAGGCAGTGGGGCGGGAAAATTTTATGGCCATGATAAAAACAGTAACTGCACATACTTCTTTTGTACACACAGATCAGGTCTTAGTTCATGAATAGCTAAAGCCTCCGCTGTTTTAAGGAGTTGAAAACGAAGAGAACGTGGGAGGTAACCGTTTTCGACAAGTATGCTTTTTAGGAAAGATAGCTCTTCGTCGATACAATCGTCACTACAGATGCTTCTTATTCGATAGCAAAGAGAGTGAATAAGATTTCTTTTTCTGTTGATGGGCACCCAACTATGAAAATTAGTTAGTTGCCCGTTCCACGTTGGTTTTCTGTAGATGGTGGATCTTTTAAGGTATCCATTTTGACGTCGGGTGAGAAGTACATCAAGAAAAGGAATAGTTGATTCTGGTTCCTTCGCTATAGTAAACTTGATGGCTTGATGACATTCGTTGAATGAACGAAGCACGTCATCGAGCTCTACATTTTTGTCGCTAATAACAAACGTGTCGTCCATATATCTCCTATAAAAGTCAAAGCTATCAATAGTTTGACGAAGTTGTGGATTTTCTAGTTTCGACATGAAGAAATCTACTAGCAGTGGTCCCAATGGTGACCCCATCTCAAGAAAGATGGAATTGATGTGCTTCTCACCCGACGTCAGAATGGATACCTCAAAAGATCCACCATCTACAGAAAACCAACGTGGAACGGGCAACTAACTAATTTTCATAGTTGGGTGCCCATCAACAGAAAAAGAAATCTTATTCACTCTCTTTGCTATCGAATAAGAAGCATCTGTAGTGACGATTGTATCGACGAAGAGCTATCTTTCCTAAAAAGCATACTTGTCGAAAACGGTTACCTCCCACGTTCTCTTCGTTTTCAACTCCTTAAAACAGCGGAGGCTTTAGCTATTCATGAACTAAGACCTGATCTGTGTGTACAAAAGAAGTATGTGCAGTTACTGTTTTTTATCATGGCCATAAAATTTTCCCGCCCCACTGCCTCCCCCTCCCACTTTGTTAATTTAACCTTTGTATCCTTCCTTTATCACTATTATTGTCATTATAATCGCCTTCACTTCAACTAGTTTCCGGTGTTGTTTCACTTAATTGTCTTAATCCTTTTAGAAAACATTGACTTCATCCTGTCCAATTTGTCTAATGCCATTACATAATACTTAATTGGTTTGATATTTACTGCAGCATTTATATACTTAACTACTTAATAAAATGTGAGTAGTTCGTAACTAGATTCATAATTTTGTTGAGGTGGGAAATAATAGCAATGATAACAATAACTATGCTGATAGTAATGTAATTATCTCGACCTGAATGAATCAGAAATATGGAAAACTAATTTATGGAAGTAAGTAGTTACTGAGTGACTTCATTTTTGGATAAAACCCTATTTCTGTGTTTTTGTTTATCTGTTGATGAACTAGAGGATAGGTATATTTTTCAATGTTTTGTCTTATGCAAACAAAAGAACAAGTTGGTTGATCATATCCCGATACATCAATAGCTTTTTCGTTCTCCATATGTTTAACGAAATACGAATACAACCTATCTATATTTTGTTTTGAAACTCTGGTTGAATAGAAGTGGCTTGAATTGAATGTCAGGAAAATTGTGCTTTGTTCAACTGTATGTGTATAATGCCTATCTTTAGCAGTCAATTATGTTTTTCTTTCCATTCTAGTAAGGAAATGGTACTATCATTTAAGACGTTTTTATCAGTGTGTAGGATTTGGTTGTATAGCTTCATCGAAGAAATTGTTTGTTACTTCAATGAAAAGCTGGAAACTTGTATTTATCAGATTTGATTTTCTTTAGTCTAATTATGTAACTAATATAATTCAATCCGGTGCTGTTTTTATGTGCTGGTTTAGGAGCCATATCAATTGTGTGAGGGTTTGTAATACTACCTGGTTGCTCAGGTCTAAGTAGGTGGTGCGAATTTGAACCTGGGACCCAGTACACTAAGGTCGAATGGTTAAGCCAGTGAACCACAAACCGCCATCTTCCTGTAGTCTGCGTACCAACTTCCACCCATCAGATATACTAACAGCTTTTCTTCCACCTTTGCTTCATTATAGATATCTATAGAACTACTGGGAACACTTCTTCCGTCTACTCCATCATTTTCAAAGCGAATAATCAATCAAATGGGTGGTGGAATTCGTCAGTATACATTTTCAGATTTACCTGCTAGTTCTAAGTTTCGGATTGTTATAGATGCCGTTGGGGAGAATAGTGAGTTTATATATTACTGTCTAGTGATGTACTTTACTGCCTCTAATTTCCTCTGAGTTCAGTGTTGAATAATATTTTTATTCTTTTCTTTGATGATCAGTTTATTATTGCAAATTTTAGTTTCAGAGATGATTTTAGAGTAGGGTTTAGTTAATGAGTTAAAAATTGTTTTTCAAGCAGAGAATATATTATGATAATTTGGTTGGCTATGGCTATCGTTCTTCCGTGGCATAGTGAATAATGCCTTGGCGTTTGAAGCGGTGCGTACGCGGTTCGAGTCTCAGTGGGAACAACACTGGGGTGCGGGTACATCCTACTAACGAGTCCCAAATAAGATGAAACGCGCGTCCTGGATTTTTCTACTGGCCACAACCAACCATATTATCATAATTAACATTCAGGCAATATCGAGGTATCCGCAGGAGCTCAAATGTCAATAGAGATTGAACAATTCGATCCAACAAAACGGGGAATAACAAGTATGTCAATAAATAATAATAAGAAAATATATTAGGTTTCTGAAGCTCATCAGTGGCACTACTTGAATAGCGCCATACAACTTTAAGGTACTTCTTTACTTATAATTCTAACTTGGCTTCAATATGCACATCAATTATTTAACATGAGAAGTACAATATATAGTAGAAAGGATAAAACATTCCAAAATAATTTTCCGTCAGTGGTCACTATAAAAGTTGCATGACAAAGGAGAGTTATATAAGGTCTATAGGCGTTTAAAATGGGGGAAACAAAGTGATTACAAAATGAATAAAAATAGCTGCTTCATATGTCGGTTATCTGGAGTGATCGATAATCTATTATGGTCATGACAAAGCAAGAGGTTGTGCATACTTCTTTTAACGAATAATGCTGCTTTGAGCTTTGAATTACTAATGCTTCAGCTACACCTAGATGTCTTGGCTTCACTCCTTTCGAGTGACGTGGTCTCATTTTGTACAGAATTTTGAAGGACTTATCAAAAGGAGCTAAATATCCTGAGTTTACTATGTGTTCTGTTGCAGAGCTGAAGATGCATTTATGTTCTCCCTTCGTCAGCTAGGTTCGGGAGTGTTCACGAGCTGTTGCATAGGCTGGCGCATGATACGACCGATATACTTGGCTCCACAGGAACAAGTAAACTGAAATACGTTGATGTGGTCCAATGCTCGCGAAAACCTGCTTCAAACTTTCAATAGTGCTCATTTATTTATCAAGTTGACTCTGGAAACAGAGTCGAACTCAAAATTCCACTTTCTTGATGTCCACCTTCAAAGAAAATATGACAATTCAATCCAGAGATCTATCTACATAATGTGTGTTCATATGGAGCCGGTTACATCGGCCGGCTTATGCAACGCGGTCGTGGACACTACCCAACCTGGCTGACAAGGGGAAAACAAAAATGCATCTTCAGTTCTGTAACCGAACACTTAGTGGACTCAAGATATTCGACTCTTTATGATAAATCCTTCAAAATTCTGTACAAATCACTATAGACGAAACTATACTTTATTTTGTCATTCAGTTTATCTCTCCATTTCAAACACCTTTAGATATGATATAACTTTCGTTTGTCAGGCAATTTATATTGACTTTTGACCGGAAATCGCTCTGGAATGTTCTATCGTTTCTACTATATATTCACGAATGTATAGCTAAGAGAATAATGTCGTTGGAATGAAGAATGTTTCTTCTCTGAAGTCATCTTTCTTTTCCTGTGATCATATCGGTTTGTTTCAATGTTAGGAATACAATAAAGGGATTTAACGAAATCTGTAGATACATGAGATTAGTAGTATGGGAATAATGAATTTAGAGCAAGATAATGGAGTAACGATGCTTAGCCACCTTCCATCTTCTTATGCTGGTCAGTATCATACAAAAAGTTAGTTACTGAACATACTGACCACATGTTTGAGTAATTATAGTCGATATGTGATCTCAATCGGTTTACCTAACTAAACGCATCTCTCCACTCATTGTTATGATAAATCTGAGAAATGCCATCAAATCTGACGAAACTTGTAAGTATTACACTAAGAACTGGTTTGCAATATGTTGAAGTCTTCGTAGATAATCTGCTTACTTGTTTATCACAGAGAGCATAAGCTTGATGTACGCCATTCAATTTCTTTATGTGTCTGCCGGTCATTTCATATACCTTGTAGGTATAAGAAAATTCTCTGTTTACGTTTACAGTGTATTTTTTTCTCTACACTTTTCATTTCAGACTTTCCTTGATGGTAAACTGTCTTCATGGTTATATTCATCACGGACTGATGTCATTTGGCGAAGCATTAAACATCTGTTTAGTCCTAGTATTAGACGTCATTCAGGATCGAATTGACAGAAATAGGAAACTATCGACCATTGAACTCCGATCCAGTGGCTAAATGGCTTGAGCCTTCACTGTAAAGCCTGAAGATCATGAGTTCGATCGCTGGCAGGGTTGTAAGTGTATACTGCTGAGAAGCCCCATACTAAGGGGAAACAGCTGTCCAGTGCTCCCAAGTTTTCAACTGTTGTCTAACTGATGTCAACCCATGATGAATTCAAACTTAAAAGTAAAATCCCCATAAACTATGCTTTGTTGACTCAGTAATGGGTATTCTGATGATTTCAGAAGTCACTCTCTACAGAAACGTTCTCAAGAATGACTGGACATTCAGTTTGGGAACGTGCCTTTTCTAAAAATTAACAACTGGTCACTAGCGATTTTGTAAAATGAATCGAATTCGTATTTTTTTTGCAGTAGGTTGAATGTTTATCAATAGATGTTATTGTAATGGGTGGTATTGATAAGAATGGATATTAAATAGTATATGTTGAGAGGGCGGCAGAAGTCATAGACAATTACAAGCAATGGGCAAATATTCTACCGACAGAAACGCAAGAGACAATATGGGCGTATGAAGAGGAAATCATGATAGGAGAAGAAGAGAGAATAAGGCATATTGTGCAAATGACTATTTTAATGCAAGGTGTACAATATTTCATCACTACTGTTCAAAATATCATTATAAACATTCCTCTCTGAGTCTTATTCTTTTCCGTTTCTTACATCTGATGTCTTTGCTTTCGGACGTAATGAAGATTCTATGGCCTTCAGTGTTCAGAGATGGAAACATCAAGGTCTTTCTCAGAGATTTCGAGTCGGTTGTGGAGCTGGTGGAGCTGTCCGAGATCCGGGAGCGAAGGAAATTGTAAAAAACGAAAAAGAATAAGACTCGGGGAGGAGTATTTATTATGACATTTTGCATTAAAATAGTCATTTGCACAATGTATTTCATTCTCTCCTCCTACCTCGATTTGTTCTTCATACGCCCACATTATCTCTTACATTTCTCTGAGCAGAATATTTACTCATCACTTATAATTGACTGTGACTTCTGTCAACCTTTCAACACATACTACTTATATCTGTTCTTATCAGTATCACTCACTATATTATCTCGTTAGATCAGGATTGTTGCATTTGTATACTAGTGTCACTTGTAAACGTTACCATTCTAGTGTGGTTGGAATCTTGTCATGGCCCAGATTTTCATTTCGTCTTAAATCATCACCCAGTATCAATACAAGTTTTTGATGACAATGTGTTCTGTACAAGTTTGCCAAACTATGGCTATCGCAGATAATCAAACTGATCATCATTCCTATTAGTTGAAATTATTTTATTGACATGATCACTGACGATGTTTTATTCGCCAGTTTTATGTGTTAGCTCACTTCGACTCAAGTAGAAGCAGGTGATACAGCATGTTTTCTACTATTCTTGAGTCGGTGTGGTAGTTAACACCCAGAAAATATTTTTCAATTGGATGCATATTTTCATCAACAGGAATAATTACTGATAGATATTATGTGTTTTTAGTTTAGTGGAAGAAATAGATTCTTGCCGGCTTTACACTCAGCACAGTCAACTAATCTGTGAACCTTACAGTTTTTTCTCAAACAATCATGTTTTTTAAAAGCTGATATTTTGTTTGCTTCAAATATTACAGTTCAGCGTAACAGAATGTTATACAACTGTGCTACTTCTTTGTGCCTCATATTTTACCCGAATCTCTTACAACTAGAGTTTTCTTTCATGATCTCTAAGTTCTTATGTCACTTACTCCTCGGTTCACTTCACGTGCACTTCTGAAGAGTTTAACGCCAGTGGATTTGAATCTAGAATTCTTCAATGTGTATGTTCAGCTACAAGCCTATGCCAATAGTCAGGTAGAATTTTATTCTTTACTACCCACATTCATCTAACATTTTATGTTCTTGTACTCTATTCAACTGTATTATCTGGAAAAATATTCTTTTCAGATACATCAGTTGGTTCATCGTTTATGAATGTATGGACAAGTCCAGCTCCTTTTCAAAATTCCAAAAACTTAAGATTTGGACCGATAATTCCAATATTCAATGGATCATCTCTGGTGAATATAAAATTTCCAACGGTTACTGGTTATGAAGGTGGTCCACTTAATGGGTTTTACATAGTTGTTGAGAAGAGTTCAAATGTTAGTCGTATACGACGTTCAGTTTGTAAGTTGTTATTAATCTACTTTGTGTGAACATTAGTTGATTACTTTTTAAAATAAATATCTGTTAGTTCTAAGCTATGCTCAATCTATGATGAAAACTACTTTGATACTGGGTGATGATTGAAGGTGAAATGAAAATTCGGGCCGAGGCCGGATTCGAACCAGCGACCAGTCTGCCGAACCACGGCTATCTCAGATAGTCAAAATGATTACAAGTGTTACCAATTACTCAAACGAACAAGTAATCGATGTTGGTTGTCTGAAAATATCACAATTTGTAGTGAGTCAATGAGTTTCATTGAATTACCATTGAGTTTACGTATATGACTAGACCTACAGCATCTGAGGCAGCTTAATGTGGATATACCACTAATTAACCCGATGCCGAACAAAGCCACTGTCCGATGCGCATGTCATCTCGATGTAACTGTCAGGCGCTTTTGATTTGCGCGCGTCGTTTGAAGTTACTAGTTTCTATTGAGTAGTATGTCTTTTTACTGTTAAACAATACTGATGAAATGTTTGCTGATCTCCTTTTAGTGAGTGGTAGTTTTATTTTATAGTCGAATTTTGTTCTGTATGTGTACAATAACGTGTTCATATTTTCTATCTCCAATGTGTTTATTTATGAATGTAGTGGATCGTTCACAACTTGGATTACCAACAAATGCTAATATTGTTTATTACTCCAATACCTTTCCATCTGAAAGTATTCCTATTGGATCTGGCAGTGTTATAGATGGTTCTAAGCTATATGACAATCTATCTTCCATACCAGGTTATAGTAATCCACGTTTAGAATCGAATGTTAGCTATACCGTTTATGCAATTGTTCAAAGTCAAGTGGATGGTACCAGTGAAACTGCACGTGCTGCGTCTATATCATTTTTAACTGGTGAAGATATACACGTTACGGGTACATCTAGTCAACTATCAGAATCTAATGTAATTGGGATAATTTTGGGCATTTTATTGGCTCTTATTATTTTGGGATTGATAGCATTCATTATCTACTATTTTTGTCGTAAAAGATATCAGGTTAGTGCTGATTTTTCTGATTTATCCGTATCATAATTTTTATTAATTGTAAATAGTAGACTGTTGATTATACTTTTCCTATACCCTTATCTTTCATCTAACTGCTTTCTATCTTATCCGCTGAAGAGTTAGAAAAGCTGCTAGATCCTCTTAGCTTCCCTCAAAATGACCAATACTTTATCTGACACTCGATCGAAGAGAGCAAAGAGAAAGTTCGTGTAAGGTGCAGCTATTGTACATTATTTTTAAACCCGCATCCAAGATTATCTTTGGATTGGTAGGTAACCAATATCCAAGTTAGTTGTGGGCAGTGCACAAAAGATATCAAGCTTCAACTTACTGAACTGTAGAGCTGAACTTGAATAATGTTTTGGGGGCCTTTATTAGTATTTCTGTCCTGACCTATGCTTATCTTTCTTTATTGGTTGAATTCTCAAGGTGATCATATTTCTCCAGAAGAAGACAGTAACCGGTCCAAGCGGTCATTAATCCACGTTGTCTGGAAATACTTAAGACCATTGCAAGCACACATAAACCCGCTGTATTTTGTGTAAGGTTTGATGTCACAATACAGTTGTTTACTTATCTCCTCTTCCTGTACTTTAGGAAACTAAACAACCATCAAACTGTTGAGAATCTAAACATCACTCATATAAAAGGTTATATAAAACCTATTCACTGATTTTTTTATACTACCGAAAACAACAGTTTTTTCACTCATTAGGAATAGAATTTTGTCATATTTTTGTGCTACACTATAATTACAATGAAACAAAAAGCTTATTGTTCATATTTTGTGGATAACCACATTGTAGTGCTTCTATATCACTAGATAGGGGACGTCTCAATGTGGATTTGAGAACTGATGTCGATATGGTAATGCATATAATCATGAATCACTGACTAAAGTACCTTAAATAGGTCACTACTTAAGATCCCACGGCTATCACCAAGATGTGAACAATGAAGTAGTTTTATTTGATCCTGAAAAAATTGATATTCAACCGCTAGCCTCATATACAAACGTGTTTGTTGTTAGCATTGAATTACGTTCCTATGTTTATTGATGACACTATCGGGTACCAGATAAAACTCGAACTCTGAATAAAACCTGTCGTAAATCAGTGATTTTTTTTGTTGTCAGCGTTTACATCATTCATAATTTGTAAATTTATTTATCCTTATAGTTTGTTGAGTCTTTTTTCTACAAGTTTTATTTTCTCTATTCACTTTTCTTTAAGTCTGGTCAGTATATATTCGAAAAATATCCAAGACATACAAAATTGACTGCTAAAGAGAAATCTTATTTGTTACCGTATTCATATGCATGGTGGAGTATACCAGGAGATTTACGTGAACCTCGCTATCTGATTATTGATCCAGAACATGGACCTGCGCATACATTAGTTGGAACATGGCCTATGAGTGAAATATTAATTACATTTTCACGTGAATATTCAAGGTATAGTTGATCGTAGAAATGATTCTTATTTTTCTTGTTATACTTTCTTAGTTTTATAAGTGATGAATGTAATGTGTCTTTGTAGAAACGTGACTCCATAGACTTAGGAATATGACTTTCAGGCAATGGCGTCCAGGTTGGAATCCCGTGCTACCTATCTGGTCAGTGGGTAGTATTATCAACCGCCGAATGACCAGTTTGACTCAACCTAGTACACAAAAGTATACCAGGTTTAGTTTCATGTTACGTAAACATAATACAGCGTATCCACATTTACGTAAGTACATAAACGTACAGTGAGAGAGTAATTACGAGTTTTGTTAACTCAGTTATTCTATTCAAGTTAAACCTCTGCATTTTATAGGATGATTTTTATCATGAATCTACTTCAACTGAGAATAGCTATTGGAAAGCTGTTACTTCATCATTTTGCAATCCCACAGATGATGTCGTCTCATGAGAATTACTTCGAAAGCGTAGGTCATGGTGTCCCATCACTTCCTGGTTGTAGATGATTTTCCAGTCGACACTTGATGACAAATGCTTTGATGCCAATAATTTCTCTACCATTTTCCTAATTGGGGACATAATTTGGATGGATTGGTAGTTTCCAAACACTCTACTAACCAGTAAGAGTAGTTTGAAACCCTTTATATTGTTCTTTAGGTTATGCTAGTTAGATTAGAGCGTCTAAATGTTATTAAACTTTTTGTTCTTTCAAAGCTTAGCAGTGTGACAGAAAGTCTACATCATAAGTGTGAATGATTTATGTGAATTGAATCTAAGTAGGTGACTTCAGTAGGTCAGTCTACCACGAAGTAAATGAACTACTTCTAAACAATGGCTATCTGAGATGGTTATAAGATTCTCCCTCTCCCTAATTCAGCTGGATTTGGATTGGGACGGAAGTTCTGACTGAGCGATCACTGTGAGTACGATGAACGGACAGTAACGTATCATGAATTCACACGGCAGTCGGACAGTATCCTTTGTGATCGAAGTGAAATTAAGATTTTGTAAGTAGCTGAGTCTTGTAGTTCGGTTGGTAGAGGATCGGACCAGCAATTTGGAGGCTGATAGTTTGAATCCTGCCACGATCTAGATTTCTATTTCATCTTCGATCGTTACCCAGTATCAGTTCGCAAGCTATTTACGAATTATATGATTCATACTGACATTTATTATTTCACGACAGTGTCGTGTCAGGTGGTCCCAACTTTGATCTTGACTGAGCGGTTGGCAGCGAAGGGTCTGTTAACATTGACAAGTTGGCGGTTTAAAACGTAATCAGGGTGGAGGTTATCTACATGACCCAAACAATTTGTAGGTAACTTGAGAAACAGTAGTTTGATGATAGTTCCTGAAGTTCATTTACTCTTATACCTATTTAGGGGAACGACAAGTAACTCCTATTATGTTATGGTCAATATTTCCTACTACTAATTAACAAGAGAAATGGTTTTTTTGTGAGCTTTCTCTTAAATATGAGTGTTACATTTAAATCAATATCATAGTGACTGAATGGATGGGGTTCGTGCACACATTGGTCTCCAGATATTGTTCACATCTCTTAATAGTTTCCGACTTTATCTAGTGAGGACTACTCGATGTTCCCTTTGACCTGCCTGAATAATGGTTCTACGTCTTTTAGACATATTTGCGCAAATTTTTGCTGACATCTCAAATTTATCAAGGCCTTAGCTACTGGAAGTTGAACCACCCTTATATGTTAAGAAATATTTTGCTCTCAGCTTAAGCTTTCCTCGGTAAATTCATCTTTGACTCCAACATCAATGCTCGATGATGTTTCACTTCATTGATCTCCTTTGCTGTCCTAGCTTTCATGTTAACCTTTCCATTTTTTTCAATACCTTAAATTTTTTATATTTCATACAAGTATCTAAGGAAAGTAGTCATGTGATCAAATTGTTCAAGATGTATCGCGAAAATACATTACGCTGTTTAAGCATGAATTTCCTGGTTTATACGTATGACCGCTGCATACAAATATTGCGGTAAACTTTCACTGTTCACATTGTACATGTTTTGGTAGTCTAACTGCTTCACGATGTTGAGTTTTCGTGAACTTCGTCTTAAGTGCTGTTGATAAGCTGTCAAACCTAGGTGAAAGTTAAATTGACCATTATTTCTATCCATCTAACATGAAAAAGTCCTCTACGATGTACATCGTTATAGTACATCTATGAATTATTACTTTATGCAACTGTGGTTTAGGAATGGGTAACATCACTGAATTGTTCACCAATTAACGAGGATTAGACAGTAATTTGATGTGATTTGCCCTCAAGTAAAGAGTATAGCTCATAGTCTGCCTTACACAAATCTGGGAGTGGATAGTGAACTGAAGTGTTAACTATATTACTAGCTTCAGTTACAGGTATCAGCAAATGCTAATATCTGTATCACAAGAGGTGACCCTCGTGCTTCAGCTAGCTAATGGATAACCGTTTGGCGTCCGAAGCGATGGGCAAGGGGGTTGGAATTCCAGTGAAAAAACCATCACTCACTGGGGCGCGGCTACATCTATCTGATGAGTCCCAAGTAGGATGAAACGCACGTCCTGGAATCCATCGCTAGCCACCATCAAAGTATCTTTAAATGGTGTCGAACTATATCATAACTGGAATAAGTTGTTGAAATGACATTTCCCACTTAGTAAACATGATCGTCATATATCCTTGGATGATTAACCAACAAATGACTATTGCTTGAGAACAGGTGTTTACTGTTCAAGTTGACAATCATTTTTTTAATATTTCCCTTTTTCAAGCATTCCAGTGGGTGCAAAATTTTCACAATCAGTTGGTAATTTGAAGAGTAATCTATCAAAAAATCGTAGTCAAACAATCTTACCATACAATCATAATCGTGTTTCATTGAATCGACCTGTTGGTTCTTCAGAAACTGATTATATCAATGCAAGTTTTATTGATGGTTACATGCGAAGACGTGCGTATATTGCTGCACAGAGCCCATTTGATATGATTACATCACAGGACTTTTGGTTGATGATATTTCAACGTAACATTGCACAAATTGTAATGTTAACCAACCTTGTTGAAGATTCCACACTAAAATGTTGTCAGTATTGGCCTGAAGTAAGTAGAAATACACTTTTTCTTCTTTAAATTTATTGCTGTACTCACTCAGAAAAAAATGACAGTGAACTCCATACTTTTTGACAAGTTTATTTGACATTTTTACCAAATATGAAGCGCTGCATAATACAGTAGGCTCAACTGGCTTTTACTAATCTACATCAGGTTTAACAATGGCAAAGTATCCTTATTTTGAATTTGGCGTTTTGTGAGGATTTAAAGATTTTTCAAGTTGATATTCATCATGAACTGATATCAGTCGAAGGAACATCGAAAACCTGGGAGCACTGGACAGCTGTTTCGTTCTAGTACGGGACTCCTCAGTAGTACACACACACTACCCCGGAAGGGATCGAACCCAGAGCCTTCAGGTTCTATCTCCAGCACGTTACCATTGAGCCACTGGGTTGGTTCAGTGCTCCCAGGTTTTCACTGTTCCTCTAACTGACGTCGGTCCCCACAAAACCCTGAGTTCAGCTGAACTAGAGCTCATTGGTGGTTAGCTTCGAGAGGTGATTCCCGAAGTTCCAATGCGAAGTCGTGACTAGTGGGGCAAATCTAGCATCTGTGAGGACAAATACTCAACGATGACATTGGATGTAGGTCACGCTATATCGTGAAATGACAGAAGTTGGAAATATAGACCGTTAGATTGTGACCCATTAGCTCAATGGTAACGTGTTGGTCACGGAACCTGGAAGTCCCGGGTTCGATTCATAGCTAGGCGGGATCGTGGGCTCGCACTGCTAAGGAGTTCCATACTAGGACGAAACAGCCTTTCAGTGCTCCCAGTTTTCCAGTGTCCCTCCAACTGATGTCAGTCTATGATGAGTACCAACTGGAAATATCCTTATTTTTTCTAAAGATCTGATGCACTGTGCTGCAGTTACCGTGTAACGTAGGTTTAAAATATGATCGTTAAAGGTGAATTTCCGAAGGCATCAAATATTTGAGCATCATTATCTTTAAAACATTAGTTTCCTGAAAGGAGGAACACTGTTACTCATATGCAGGCAAGGGACAGATAAGGGGGGTCATTTTATAAACTTTTAAATCATCATCGATGTTAGTCATACTGAACAAAGCTGTCTGTATTCACTCTATATTTTCGACGGCGTATCATTAGGTTGGAAAAGGTCGAAGGTAACCAGACCAAGATACTGTGCATAGAAGTGTAGGCTTTGAGGATAGGCGATAGTATTCAGAATCTATAGTAATGTCTCAGATACATCCACGCCTCATAATCATTTAAACCTTGAACATTGTTTTATTTTCCTCATTTTCTACTTTCTAGTGGTGTCCTTTATGAGTATGTTTTCCGTTGTCATTAGTTTTTGCCGATTTTACATTTGATAGTTTTAACAACTTGTGTACTGAGGCACATTCGTGCAATAATTTTATTGTTTATCTGGTCGCAGTGACATGTTTAGATTATTAGCTGCAGCCTTTTTGAAAACCACCATCTGCACCATGTTACGTAGCCTTTCTGAGTTCATTTTCAAGAGGTGTTAACGCTCATTTCTGGTGCAATGTGTAGGCTAAGTATATACTTGCAATTTTCTCCTTGATGGTTCAACTGATACGCCCCCCTCACTGAAGTCCAACTTCGATCAAAGTTGTTTAATTATCTTAGCGTAAGGAATTATAATGATGTTCTTGGATTCCACTGTACTCACCACCAAATAAACAGCAAATTATAATGTTCATCTTAGAATTTATTCAGCGGGAAGATATTTCAGAAGTTGTTCTTTAAATATACGCTTCGAGAAACCTTTTCTGTACATTTTACAAAACATTTTCTCAAGTAACTAATTGATAAACTGATTCATTTCGAGAACTGATGTTTCATCTGGATATCAAATTTTGTTATACCTCTGTTTTTACGGTTTGACCGATGTTCTGGTCCTTAACCTTGGCTTTGGTTTCCTAATGGGTCCTAAGGTTAACGAACTTAATGGAATGGTCAACTCTGGTGCTAACTAGCATTATACTCCCACTTACTATATTCGAGTTGACCCTACAGACACTAACGTCATATCAGCTGACTCAGAGAGAAGACGAAGTTACGCAGTTAGCCTACATATTGCACAACTATTTGTATTTGGCAAAATGTATGGGAATTGTACAAGGTCCTACAGCGTAGACCACCTAATCAGGATGTCAAAGAATAAGAACAAAGGTAGGCACATGAAGCACATTCCTAATTGATTGATTATGGTTCTCATTTTCATTGGTTACGGATACAACGGATTTCTCAGCTGTTCTGTGCTTCATGATTTGCTAACTCATTTTGTTCAGAGATACAGTCTATTTACGAATCGTCATCTAGAAATTTATGAAGTGGTATGATTATTTTTTTCCTTTGAATTTTTTTGGTATGAAGTTTGCTAACATTTTGGCAGCTGAACACTTCATGTATTGTTCTCATGAAATGGGGTTATTTTAGCTTGAGAGGATTTTCATTCAGCTAGTGAAATTTTTTAGTAATGTCATAGTTAGCTAGAGAGCTTACTGTTAAGCCGGGGAGACAGATTGAGTATAAAGTCTGATCATTTGTACAGTTGGGGAAAACCTCATTTTTAAAAAGTATTTCACTGCTTTACTGGTTTTACTCTTCAGTAATCGGTTGTAATTTGTTATCTGCAAGTCCATTGGAAGTAAAAGTAGGGAAGATGTTTAATCTGAGTGCCTCAATCAAACTGTTGAATATGACTTCAGTAATGTACACTTACTTGTAAATATCATAATATGTCCGGGACTATTACATTTATTGGTTGAAAAAGTATCCATTATCTAGTTTGTTGCATCGCTGACGTCTGGGATTACATCTAGTTCTATACTGATTAGTACATGGTTCATATTGAGGCTTTCTTCAGTTTTTACCTAAGCTCCATCACTTCGTGAGTTATTACCATTTTTTGTTAGACTACTCCATGACCATAGCTTCTTTATGCCATTTGTTGCTTTAAAAACTTAAACCTCGAAGTATTTTGTATACTTTGTTTACTTTCTACCGTCCTTAGGATCACTAGTTGCTGATGTGTTGTAGGTTGCATATAGTATAAACCAATTTGTTCATGTTAGCTTGTTTTTCTTCTACAGTGGGACGTTACATCTATCAAATAACGTTTAATTGTCCTTGGAAGTGTTTCCCAATGATAAACTTAGTTATTAAGGCTGCTTATTTATTCGAACATACTGTTCAACTTTCATTTAAAATTTTAAGACTGAAAGTAATTCTGCACTCTGATGTTGCATGAAGTGTTTTACAGCGTTCCACCAATTTGTCAGAAAGTCAACTGTGTTCTGTCCGTTCTCAGAAAAAATGAGAACAACAACCAATTGATTGCAAGCGTCCATCTTTTTTAGAGGAAATATATTGTAGGTTGGTATTCATCATAGACTGACATCAGTTGGGAAGGGATACTGGAAACCTGGGAGTAGTGGACAGCTGTTTTGTCCTGGTATGGGACTTCTTAGCGGTGCGCACCCATGACCTCACCTCTCCAGTTGTCGAACATAGAACCTTCAGGTTCTGTGGGCAACACGTTACTATTGGGCCACTGGGTCGGAATCCTTTGGTGCATATTACCTACTTCTGTCGTTTCACGATATAGCACGACCTACATTCAGTGTCGTTGTTGACTACCTGTCCTCATATTCGACTTAGTTGACTCCACTGGTCATGAATTCTCATTGGAACTCCAGGAATCACCTCTCAAAGCTGTTCAATGCGCTCAGTTTTCCAGTGTTTCTCCAACTAATGTCAGTCCATGATGTATTTCAATCTAAAATCAATGAATATATCTCCACAAACCTCCAGATGGAAGTAACTTCGTAAAAACACAATAGAGGTAGAAAAATAAATTCCTGACATTTCGCAACCTTATGAAAGCTACTTGTACAAGGAATAAAACTTGTACAAGGTATTTCATGTTTGAATCGAAAATGGAGACAAATCATATCACGTTCTTCATACTTGATGGTAGTAATATGGGTCAAGTGTCATCAGTTAACTGGGCTGTAAGTTCAACGTGATGTGGTGTGAGAAACTTAATATGGATGAGAAATTCAGGTTGTTTGTTTGTTTGTGCACATACTTTAGTTATTATTATTGTGTGTTTAACATATTATTTTGGATTTATACCATCCAAGTTTGTTGGATAGTTAGACCTTTCCCTTCAGCTTAGTGCATTAGTATTCAACAGTGTGAGATGCCTTGTAGTATGAAAGTTCTTGTCGAATAATTTTAATATTTCCAATGTCAATTTTGTGACTATGAAAGCGGTTGCCAATTTGATTTGAAAATTCTCCAGGTGTACAGGACTATTTGGTGATCGTTTTGTATAACTTGTGCGTTCTTTAGCACGAATGAGGATCTTGTGGGATGATTCCATAATATGATAATAAGTATCACAATCGACACATTCCAATCTGCAGACAGTTCTATGTGTGTAAGGCAAAAGGACTTCTATCTTTTAAGTGGACTCCAAAGTGTTCCTGAAAGTAATTTACTTGGTTGTGGCTAGCAGAGGAATCCAGAATGCAAGTCTCGTCCTATTTGGGACTCGCCAGGTGGATGCACCTGCACCCCAGTGAGTGATGTTATTCACACTGAGAGTCGAACCTCGTACCAATCGCTTCAAACGTCAAGGGGTTATCCACTAGACCACAGAGGAACGGTAGCCATCTCTTGTACAACGGGTATTAGTTATCACCAAGTAGATTACCATGATTAATATTCAGGCAATATCCAGGCATCCACATAGGAACCCATATGCCAGTAGAGGTCGAGCAATTCGGTCCAGTAAAGCAACTGAGAACTATAACCGTATCAATAAATGGTAATATTCTTGAGAGTGTTGGTTGTCTTGTAGAAGGCTCTAATCTGGTGTTTTCTTAAAATCATATGTAGCTGTTCAGTTGTACTTTAGTGTAATGGTAGAACTATTGTACTAATCCAGGACTTATCATTTGATTTTACTTTTGGATTCCTCTGCTCATGGTTTTTAACCTTTGAAACGATACTCTCAGGGTAATTATTGGAATGTATCACATTGTATCAATGAAAAGTTTGTGCATTGTGAAATGGATTAATGTATAATCTTATCTGGATCTCGTAGCTCAGTCGGTAGAACATCGGGCTGGAAACCCAGTGGTTGCTGATTCGAATCTGGCCGTGGTTCAGATTTCCATTTCACCTTCAATCATCACCCAGTATAAATACTAGTCTGTCAAACCACAGCTATTTCAGATGGTCAAAATGATAATGTATTATAAGTCAAAAATATTTTTTGAATGAAAAGTTTGTCCGCACTGATTGGTTTTTACTTTGGTAATATTTCGTGCAAATTTACTGTCCATAATCATACCATCAGTTGGAATTTCTTTTATTCACTTATTTACCAATAGACATTACATATGTAGTCTTTTCTTATTGTTCATTAGTGTGTTTATTCAATACAATATTCCATATGGTTGATAGTTGTGTGTCGGTTCATATTTGGTGTATGTGTTGGGAGGTGACGTATAAATATCGATCTTTCTTTCCATTTCCTTGTATGATAGTACATTCATGGTGTACAAGTTTTCATTGATGTAATGTGAAATGATTCAACTGTCTGTATTTTCTTGTAGCTGGAAAATACTATTTGAATAATTTTGACATTTTCATTGTGTTTTTTTACGACTATGAAAGGTGGCATGAACAGCAATTGCAGATATGATAACAATAACATTTATTTTTATGTTATTATCATTTTTATATACATAAATGAACAACACGATCTGATTTGGAATCAAAGTGCACTCAGCAACCTTGTACACATTAGTTCAGTAGGTAATGAGCCACACCTGGCTGCTTAAACCTCGGTAAGTGGGATGGTCTTCAAACCTGTGACTTATAGGCTGAAAATCATCTGCTTAAACCAATCATCCACAGCTACATATTTGCCATTTGAACATGCGACAACTTGTACAGGTATTGTTCTCTGAAAAAGCGGCTTCCACGAAATCGTTGAGATTTTACAAGCGTATAACCCTTGTAATCCATTTACTCAATGCTCAACTTATTTAATTCTATCAAGTGAAATTTTGATCCTGAAGTCTATGTCCATTTTTTGTTTGCATCCTCTGGTATCTCGAGTAGGTCGCCTACGCGTTTAAGGCCTTATACATTCTCCACATACTTTGCTAAACACAAAATAATTGTGTGAGCTGAAACAATGACTGTAATGATTACTCCGGCAACCACTGAAATAATCAATTAGGCTTTTCTATTTCATTCAGAAATACAGCTTTTCATCAAATAAACCTAACTGGTTATTTCGGTGGTTGCTACGGTGGCCTTTGAGTGACCCACTGGAACATGACAACTTGGCGGGATAATATTAGGTGAGATGGTTGTTCGGCATTTCCGTCAATTCGTCAAACATAGGACCAACTAAAAAACTTAGAACGAGTTTAAGGGCAGTAACACCGGCCAAACTGTCAGATTAGGGATACAACACATTGTAATATCACGAGATGGCTTGGACATGTACTTATCATGGCGATCCACCGCCTATCTCGATGTACCATGCTAGGAAAAGTTGAATTAAGTTGGAAGAAGGTGCACGCTGGTCAAACTTTAACGTGGCGCCAGTCGATGAAACTCCTGACTGTTGGTTTGAGCCGAGTTGGAAGATGTAGATAACCTGACGGGGGCACCCAATACATTAGGAATCAGTTGTTGAGGACTGTCGGTGATACAGCTGGAAATCGGTTAGAATGGTGCAGATATATTTACTCCTTGACATCTTCTAAAGCTTGAATATTTGTACTACCCGTTTTCTTCGAATTGTTACACAAGTTTGTCTACTTTGATATCGGTGTTTCTATATCCACTATTTCTTTGCATACTACTGGGAAGTGTGGCAACTTGAAGTGATGCACCTGTGTACGAGGTTCTACGTTGATTTTATCAGTCAGTAATATTATGATCTATCGATTATTAATTTAATCTTTTCTGTTATGTATAGCATAGTAAAATAGTGGTTACCCTATGGTGTCATAGTTAATGTCCCCCAAGCAGTTTACAAATGATTTTCCCGTTGTTTCAACTGACTAGTCTGCTCAGTATCTTGATGAATAAATGAATAAATAAATAAGTGAATAATGTGCATCATCAGTTTTTGTTACAAACAACTAATTGGTGGACCGTCGTATCATTTTGATTACCAGTAAAAGTGATTTAGTTCCTTGTCTCCTCTTCACTATCGTTAGCTGATGAACACGTAAATTCAAAAGCTTCTACTAAACATTACAAGCATTACTTTCTGTGTCGATTTGTTCCAAAGTTACTTTTTGTATATATTTTATTGAAATTTACTTCGTTTTTCCTTTTTTTTTCCATCAATAATTATCTTCATTTTTTTCTAGATGCCTAATCGACATGATAATGGTCACCCAGAGGTGAAGGCTACAGTTCAAAACTTTGGTAATATAACAGTGGAAATAGTTGATCGTATTGATTATGCACATTTTACTGTAAGATATTTCAATGTAACTGAAGCATCATCGAATATTAGTCAACGTGTTATGCAATATCAATTTCATAGTTGGATTACACCTGATCGTAAAACTTCAGTTAGCTTAAATAACGATAACCAACATACCTTGGAAAATGGTCGGAGAAATCAATTATTACCAGATTGTGGTGATGATTTATCACAAGATTCACAAGGTGTTTTTTGTCGTACATCAGTCATTGGAACGATATTCGATCGATTGAATTTTATTGAATTTTATTATCGTGTTAAAACGGCTAGTCGTCCCGAAGATGGTCCAGTTCTTGTACACTGTGCCACAGGTTTGTACAATTTTTCAATTTTTTTATACTGGTCTATTTTGAGTCGATTGAAACTGACTTAATCCAGGCTGTCTAAGTATGCAGTCTTGGTTGTTTTTTTTTTGGATTAAGGACCTTGAGTAAACACTGGGTGGTGATTGAAGAGGGAAATGAAAATCTGAACTATGAGAGGAGTCGAAGTATTGAAAATGTTTCTTGCCAAAACTGGATAGACTGTATGGTTATCTGGTTTTACTTTTGGGATCATGGATGCCTTTGTGGTTTGTAACACATGTTACGTGTAATTGAAGAGCATCCCAGTTGGTATGATCTCGTCAATGTCTCAAGTAGATATCATAGGGCCTGTTATTAATACATATGAAGGTAAGTCGCTGAGAGAGAGAGAGACTTCAGTATGACCAGTTTCTTTAGTGGTTGTTTAACTGTTTTGTCTTACAGTAAGTCTTATTGTCATAATTCAAGAAGGTGAACTTTAAAGTTTCTAACTTACACGCTTTGATGATGATTTCTGAAAACTATTGTGATTCAAGTTGGTATTCATCATGGACTGAGATCAGTTGGAGGAACACTGGAAACCTGGGAGCACTGGACGGCTGTTTTGTCCTAGTATGGAACTCCTCAGAGGTGCACAGTATGATTCAGTTAGATTAAGGTATTCATGCACAACAAAATACTCAGACTATAGAACGAATGTGTCAAATAGCGGCCAAATAAAATCCATGTGCTCTTCTGTTGGCTATCCCTGCTCTACGAATGAGTAGATGGATGGAAGTCGGAACTCACTGTTTATTGGTTCGAAATTAACTACTATAACCGTTGAGCTATAGAGCTGCAAAATATCGTGAAGTAGGTGAAAGTGAAAGTGCTGCATATATGACATCAATTTATTTGTGTACAAAATAATGTTATACGAAATCGACCAACTAAGTGACAAGGTCTTTCGCATTGAAGCATTCTCAGTCTTAATATGAATATGTTTTGCTCAATCTCTCTTGTTCAATAACGTCCACTTGGTCAGTAAAGTACCATTTATGAGACTTCTACTTAATGTAAAATGCTTGAGGCAGTCGATAGAGAGCCTTAAGTTTAGATTTTTAGTTTTTTGGGACTAATAACTAAGTTTTCAGGGATCTTATGCTTTCCTATGAATTTCAACTCTTCTCACTAGAGGTTACCATGAAGAATGTTACCACTAGATGTTATAGCTTCAAAGAGGCTGAAATATGGAAAGCAATATGATTTCAATACATAAAATAATTTTCATCTTACTTGGTGGTGGGTAGGATTGGGTTCCAGGGCATATGGTTCGTCCTATTTAGAACTCATCAGCTGGGATGTGCCTACACCCCAGTAAGTAATGATTTTATTCACAGTAAGACTCGAACCAATCGCACATCGTTTACACGACAAAATGTCATACACTAGGTTACTGAGATAAGTCGGCCACCTCGTGTGCAACAGCTATGTTATTTTTATTTGTTGATATACGTATAATTCCCCATTGTTATTCTGGATCGAATTGATCAATCTCTGTTGGTATATCGGCTCCAATGCGGATGCATCGATATTGCCTGAATACTTATTGTCGTAATTCATTTGGTGATAGCCATCAGTGGAATCCACAGTGTGTGTTTCGTCCGATTTAGGACTCGTCAGGTGTCAATAAAGACCTCTTTTACTTTGGTACTTAATACAGTTGTTTTAGAGTGTATCTGTTTTGTTCTAGTCAACTATCAAGCATTAGACGATTGGTTCTAACCTTTTTCTACGTTTTACATGAGAGAAAGGAATTAATTATATGCGTCAGTAACGACATTTGAGTTTATACCCTACAACATGAACCACAGTCGTTGTATAAAGACTGAGGACGCTATCCACTAGCTGAAATGAACCTCATTGCACAGAGCTGGATCGTATTCGTTAGTTGAAAGCGTGACGTCTAACATTTTGTTCAGCTTTTACGACTTTGTTGACCATTGTTTATTGTTATTGACGGTAACCCGAGTTGTAACAGTCGTTGATTTCTTTTTCAAACTAGAGGTAGTGGTCTCAGAGTGAATATAACTGACTGAGTAATCAGCACTTCATTTATATTTTTATATATTATATCATACTATATTTTAGCAGTATAACATTTCTCTTCTCTCTTTCATTTGACAGGTTTATCCCGTACCGGACTCTATATAGCTTTTGACTCATTACTTCAACAAGCAACTCATGAACATGTTGTCAATGTTCCTAAATTTTGTTCATCATTATGTAAGGCAAGAGCGAATATGCTACATTCGATGCGTCAGTTCACTTTACTATACGATTTACTGTTTGAAGCCCTACTAGCTGGTCATTGTATTGTAGATTTAGATGTGTATAGTACTTATCGAATGGTAAGTAATAGTAGTAGTAGTATGTTACAGCTTTTTAAATAACATTCATTAACTGGGTTGAACAAAACTTTAGTGACGGCGAATCGTGTTCAAGTACGCACTGACCAATCAGAACCAGGAATAATAAAGACAAAGTAGTTAATGAGGGAAATGGTATACTTTATTTGCAATTTATGAATCTGTTTGGCAAAAGAAATAAAAATATCTAGATTTTCAATAGGTCTGTCACGTTTGAAACCATACCAGTGTCTGTAATGTCACTCATCCATTTAAGACCATGATATATCCCCTCAAGATCCTGGTAAAGGTCTTAGAAACCTTGTAGGATGGCTCTGCATGTTTTCAACATTGTTTGTGTGCACTCCAGTTGTGAGATCAACGAAGTTCTTATAGTGAACAATAACTTGGTGTAAGTAACCTATTCTAGATAATGGCATATATGACTTCCAAGGGTCTGTGTGTATTGTTGTACCAGATGGTACCCATTTTTCTATAACTAGTGGGATAGGTACCTCCAATCTATCCTTTATCGACTAAAATTGTTCCCTCTTTGTATTTCTGTCGTATATACCGAGAGTCTATGATTTGCCCACATATAAGTATGTAACTTACCCAGTCCTGTTTGAGTGGTCTTCCTCAATTATACTTACATTTCCGAACAAGATATTCATCTACTTCCACATTACCTACTCTCCCGAACTTCACATCTGACCTGCAAAATTATTTATGAGCAAATGTCTTGGTAGTGCTGATACCATTGCACTGATACCTGTCAGGGCTCCTGCTGATGTTGCAGGTGTTCCAACAGCCCAATTTAGCACTGAAATCATTGTTTGTTGGAGAGTTAGATAAAATCCTTGAGAAAATGATCTTGTTTTCAAGGATTTCTTATTGCAGTAGGTAGCACAACAAACTATGAAACTATTTCCTTTCTCAGTCCATTACAACAAGGCATTCACAATTAAGACTTCTCGTATTTCATCAAAAGTTTATGAAGCGTCAGCAGCATTGTACACAGATGTAATGAATGATTTTGACGACAGCATCCACAAGGTGATTGGTCGTTCTCAAGGTTTCCGGTCACTAAAGTTTAATTCAACCCGATAGTGCTATAGAATGAGACATTATCCTCTGTATTCCTCAAAGAAGCCCGAAATTCCCTAAACCCTTTTACAACCAATCATGGCCTGCTGAAAATTCACGAAAACTGCCTATGCGTTCGGGTTGACTATCTTTCTAAAAAGGCGCAGATCATAAATAAGGCATATGATATGGCCGTTCTTTTCAAGTTTCATGTTGCATAACATACTTGATTTTCTATGATCTTGAGTTCGTTACCAGTTACACCCGAAATAACTCACAATGATGCTTATTTCATGTTGAGCATTTTCTGGATAGGCAAGTGTTTGATTTCTGTTGCGAAATAATGAGTCTGACAGCGGTTCAATTTCGTCTTTTGAAAATACTTTCTTCATCTACCTGTAAGCGTTTATGGAGGGTTGGGAAGTGGACTGTTATTCAGTTTCCATGATTTAATCACATTGTATCTTGAAGCGTTTCAATCAGTCTTTATTCTTAGTATTCAGATATCAAAATTTGCATATTGTCATGGGGAAAGAATATTATTATCAAACTGTGGAGAATTCTGTGACCAAATTTTTTGTTTGTAACACCTATGCATTATATGCATTGAACTGTGAAATAACTTCTTATGTGGAAAAACGAAGCAATACTATCTGACTACTTGGAGAAAGATGATGTCATTATGGGGCCTGGCGTTACTGCCTAACGATCCACGTTATCGTACCTCATATCAGCACATCAAAATAGGAGGAATCAATATGAAAGATAGAGCAATAGAGAAGAAACTAGTGATGGAAGGTCGTGGAAGGAGAACAAAAAGTGAAATAATAAGGCTGAAATTAGTATCACTGTTCAGATAAAAAATAAACAAAATAAGTGTATGCACCTTCGAAACTGACATCGATTCTGAGCCATAACATCTAGTTTTAGTATCCAACCTCCGGTTTCTGTTGTCACATGGACCCCATCTGGGAAGTCTACATTTCTCTATATAGCTCAGACCAACAGTAAATTACTTCATGAACTGGTGCTAAGTTCAAGTTTGGTCACCTCTAAATTCTCAACCTAAATGTACTTCAGCTAACATTGTGCGATAAGGCAGATGGTGAACAGGCATGTAGCCAACCACCTAAATCGATGAAGGTTCACAACCTCATCGATTTTCTTTCTTATTCTCCCTAGAATGTTATGCCTAACTTCTATGTTAGTGATAATGTGGCACCACAAGACACACTATGCCACGAAGGCAACTATAACCAAACACATACAGCCTCTTCATTTCCTGTATGTGTAATGACCATGTTTCATAACCAACAAAGTAGGACAGAGCAAACTGTTACGCAGTACACTGGATCCTTAATGGTCAATCAAATATTACGGTGGTGTCATAAATAGCCTTTTCTACTCATTCTTAGAATTCATCGGTCACTGACTCACCAGAGCTGGTTTAACTTCCTAGGCAATCAACCGCTACATTCCCCATTGTTAGACTTAGCATCAGTTTTAGGCGATTTCTGGAGAAATAACTTGCATTATGTAGCGAGAAAAATATTCGAAACATTTTCAATTGCTGATTATGGTGACTATTAGACTCTGTATCTTGGCAGTGTCTTCACTTAACATGACTATGTTGTCTGGATACTCTAGGTCTGCTAGGGAGACTTTTGTAACCAGATCAATTCCTGTACAGTGCGATGATGAGAAGGAGATATTTCATAAGAAAGTCTATGATAGAAGTATAGCTACAAGTATATGGGACAAGTCTTTGTTATAACTGCAAACAGCATTAACTGGACAAAAAATTCGGAATAAGTTTGGCTCTACAGTAGTACACCAATTTACGCATTCCAACACAAGTTGTCCTAGTTAGTTTAAGTGTTCTCCAGGTTACTTAAAGATTTTGTTATTATTATTATTACTTTCCCTTGGGTTCCTAGTGGAACATAGGGATTCAATAGCACGCCTCTAGTGCATTGTCTTCTCTGCAATCTATGAACCTATCGCCACGACTGCCCACAAGCTTTCATTTCTTCCTCGCACGATCTCCTCTATGTCACCCTTGGACGCCCAACTCGTCGCTTCCCATCTGGGTTCCACTCGAGTGACTGGCCTGACGCATGATGTCCCCAGTCGGCCTTCTCGATGTATGCCCAATCCATCTCCACTTTCATCTTCTGCTGCATATTTGTTGGGTGATAGGTTGTTGGTTGGTTTGTTCCCAGAGTTTCTTGTTGTTTATTCTTTTTGGCCATCTGATCTTCAGTAGCGAGCGAGCGTAGGCGGCAGCTGTTGACGAATGTTTATAGTCTGTTGGAAATGCTTTTCGTGACGCGCCAAGTTTCTTTTTATTGTCCGTAGGAATGAATAGAGGACGAAAAATTTGTTGATAAGGAGATTGATGGAAATTTGAAAATATCTTAACTGGCTGGCACGCAAGATCTTAGTTTTAGCTAAAGTTGGCCAATTATTTTGTTATCTGTAGCCTGTAGGACAGATGAGAAAGCGTCTGAGTGCATTGCGTCAGGTTTCTGATGGGTAACTTCAGGGACTAGACAATCCAATAAGTCATAGCTTGCATAAACCCAGATGTTCTTTACAATGACTCCTAGATTTTCTGAGTCTATCACTGGCGATATTCAGAAATCGTATCTTTAGCGCCATTCTGCTATAGTAACCCATAGCATCAGACAAAATGTTAGAAAAGAAATAATTCGTCACTTTTCGGTCTGTATGCTCTGGATTGCTGTTTAAGATCTTAAAACATCTTAATTTAATTCGTGGTGTAGTATACTGTACCAAATACCATACCGTATTACACCCGTCGTAAATAGGGTGAATATCGTACCTCAGTGGCCTAGTGCATAGCGCTCCGGCGATCGGTTTTGGGTCTTAGTCTCAGTGGGAACAACATCACTCATTGGGTTGCAGGTGCGTCCAGCTAACGAGTCCCAAATAGGAGGAAACTCGTCCTGTATTCCATTGCTAGCCATTATCCATCAGTAACAAGTGTCCATGATACTTTTTACCTTGAATACCTATTTCTTGATTATTTGTAATTTACTGCATTACCTTCATATGCTGTTTTCCTTATGTTCCGGTAGTTATGCCATAAAAATGAAAAGACGAATCGGTCATACCTATGGGAACAATGGTCTGTATTACATTTGTACACACCAGTCTGTGATCCAGGTACAGACTTAAGGGTTGCTGTAAATTCTTCAAATTTACGCAGAAATCGTTATCCTAAAGACTTTGATCTACTTCCACGCGATCATTGGCGTGTACGTCTACGGTGGACGCCCACAAGTGGTTTACCATCTTCAAACTACATCAATGCTTCCTACTTGGATGGAGCAGGTTTACGCGATGATATTATCTTAACACAAACTCCTCTAGCGAGCACAGTGGATGATTTTTGGTGTATGATTGAGGAGGAGAAGGTAAGCCAATGAGTACATTAAAGTTTCTTGTGATGAAGCATAAGTGAATGTCATTTTGTCTCGTTAGAATAGGCCTCATGTGGTGATAATACGAATATAGTGCTGTGAATTCGCCATTCACCTGAAGGACTTTTTATAGAAGTCCTAGTACGCTGAGTGTTTAAAAAAATGCTGACTTAACTGCCATTTTAAGCAGAATTTTGTGAGGTTTAAAGGCAGCATACCGTCCTTAAGTTATATTGTAGTACAACCTATAGGATTTAAACGAATAGATTAGTCAGTTATATATAGTTTTGTTCAGTGCTACATGTATAATCTATCGTTTACTTCCATAATTTTGCAACCGGTGGGATTCTAATACAAAGTTTCTGGCAGAGAATAATATCTTGAGGAACAATAGGGAAAAGATGTATAAATAGTGCTCCTTCCAGCCTGGTTTTTCATTTCCTGAAAAGTATAGTCTTTTCAACTGTACTTGCCTATCTCTAGTGTGTTCGTGACTGTTTTAAATCCCCACTACGTTATTTAGTAGAGTATGTAATGCTAATCAAAACTGTACTCGAACTCATACTGCCGTGTAAGGGCTTATGCAGAGTTGTCATATGAGTAGACAACAACTAGTGGTATTCGCCAGGGATGCCAACTTTCACCATTTTTATTTAATTTCTCCAAGGACGTACTAATGGGAATAACTTTAGGAGCGTCTGACTTAACCGGGATTGACCTACTACCTGAAGGTCATCTAATTCAACGAGCTGGTTGCTGACGAAATCTTAGCTTGGATGCAGTAGGCCCATTTAGCATTTGCTAGCTTGCGTCACCTGTGGAGCTGACTGGCGAGATATATGATTACCTAATAGAGCGCGAGTATACTACACTGCAGTCCATTATCTCCTGTAATACGGCTGTAAGACATCGCCGTTAAAAGTAAAAGATATGAAGCGACTACAGAGTTTTGACCACAGATATTTTTGTGGCATTGCTCATGTTTACTAGAATCACCATGTGAACCACATCAAGGTCAGATGAAGGGTGCTGGTAAGACTGGCAACTCAGTCGATGAGATTGTAAACCTTAGTCGACTGAGATCGTTCGGATGCGTACTGTACATACCGAACAATCGCCTATCTCGACGTACCATGCTAATGGGGGAAGTTGGATTAGGTTGGAAGAGGGTTCAGGGTGGCCGTGCCACGACTTGTCACCAGTCAATGAAGTCTCTAACTGTTGGCCTGAGTCATCTAGGGCGATACAGACTGTTTGGTTGTGTTCCTCGAGGGGATAGGAATGAGTGGTTGAAGAGTCTTGGTAACAGCTAGGAAACTAGGTCACAATGACGCAGATTTGTTCATTCTTTGACATATTCCACATCTTGAATGTTTTGACTAACCTTAATTTGGAAATTCCCTCTCTTCCCATATGCCTTTGTCTGCTTTGATATCACTTTTCTTATCTAATTGTTTTTTGTATACTACAGTGAATTGTGGGTACTTAAACCGACGCATTTGTCTACGTAGTTCTTTGATTTTGTCAGTCATTATTTAGTAGAGTTGTATCGAATGTTGTACCTCCGTACAATACGATATTCCGACTTTATAAAATATGATGATACTGCAACCCAGCGATTTTTATTGCAGATTTGTTTACTAGACGGTAGTTGCGTTCAACACATGTTTTTTAGTACACTACTCGATAGCCATAGGGTTTCAACTTTTTGATACTGGGATTGGTGGTCGCAAATCCAGATTGGTGAACTGGAGATTTATTAACATTATGAGACTGGCTTCTTATTTTAAACGTAATTTCATCTGACATCTGATGTTTTCCTCCCCTCATAATCATGCTTCATCTTCATTTGAATATCTTACTTCTTTTGATGTCTACCTTTTTATGCTGTTTTTCAAAATCGGGGCAGCTTCTGCATTATATTTTTCCATGTTACATCCGCCTGTTTAATTCTTTGGATCTCCTTACCTATTTCCTAGTGATTTTATAGGATCTTTTTTTAACCTAACTGCTATTTTATTCTTTATTAAATTTCTTTTGTTTAGGTTTCATGCATTATTGATATGGAGCCATTTTCCTATGGTGTTGAAGATGCTGTCGTTATTGGCCTCTTCGTCCAGGTGAAAATGAAACATATCCTATGTTTGAAGGTTCATCGGATGAAGAACGCGATCAAATTGATTTGCAGTCTGATTATGCTGAAACATTACCACTTCGTCGTGGACCATGGTTAGATTTTGCTGATGGACTAATTCAAATTTGTCAACTTGGTTCATTAATTCCAGTTCGCCTTGATTCTGTCTCACTGAAGCGTAATTTTACAAGTGAGATATATAAAAGACGCTTACTTATACGTCGACGTGAAGTGAATCGGTCAAAACACTACAATTATGAGCAGTTAAACAATGAGAAAATCAAAACTCGTGAAGTTATAATCTTCCATTTTGCCGGTGGTTGGAATGCCAAAATGAACGTACGTTTAATTATTCATACTCAATAACAATAATGATAATAGTAATAATTATACCACATATAGGGATGAGTTATATCATCTAGTGACTACGCTTTTTTAGAGTTATGCTCAATATTTTGTACTGGTGATTTCCTCAAAAAGCTTATTCCTTAATCGTGATGACTTTGGCTGTCTATATGAATCATGACCTTGAAAATTACCACGTGAAGTTAAAAGTTTGTTGTGCATTCAGATAAGCGATTAACGCATCGTCTTAATGATAATATTAAGATTTAATTAAGGCTCACAGCATGGTGTTGTTGCACTAAGCCGGCGTTTATCATTACTAGTTCAACTGAACTCACTAAAGTTTCCTTCACTGTCCCGAACGTCAAAATGATGGTCAAACAAATGTGCCAGTTTTTCTTCAGAAAATAGTTGTCTTATTCCGAGGTGATTGCAGTTATCTTGAGCACATGATTCTGCCAATTCATTCTTAACCCTGATTACTCTCGAGTATACCTACCCAGTTTCGTATCCTCAATTCACCCACACAAGAGTCACGCAATCTGGCCCACCCAAACACTGAGAAGAGAACACGAAGTGTAGTGCCTAATGCCCGTATATTTAGACGACCTGATTTACGTGTACTTGCAACTAAATTACCTGACTACAATGCACCATAATCTATAAAGATGAAGCAACTGACTCAAACACAAAATATGGGATAATCCACGATAATGGATTTCATTCAACATGCAGTTATTTCCGAAATATAATTCATACTTAGACGCAAGCTCTTGAACTGAGCTATACCATAATGTTACCAGTTAGCTCATAAGTCAGTTGACTTTTAAAATAAACATAATAATTCGACCAGTGACACTTATCTGAGATTCATGTTTCCCACCTTTCAGCTGATATAACCCGAGACATTTATCAAACAATGTTCGTATAAGTTCGCTTGAAGACTGGAACCGGTGATCCAGATACTGTATTAACTATCTTGGAATTATGCAGCTGACTGGCTGACTCCTCTTTTGGGATACTGATGGGTAGAATTTGTCCTCTATGTTATATAGTTACATGTTAGTTAGTTCGCCTATTGTGTCACAATGGAACAGTTTTATGAATGAATAAAGCAGGAAAAACTATATAAGTCGAATTAGCATCCATGTATTTCATGGATTCTCCTCAGCTGCTTTAAAACCTATAGAATATAATGTTCATGGTAGACAACATGTTATACAACGTACTTCAATAAATCGACAAGGATTTTTCGAATCGAGATGGAAGATAACAAAGATTTAGGTTGGCCAGCATTGACAGTTGTCATTATATTCTATAGGTTGTAAAATAGCTGAGGAGAATTCATGAAATACATGGATACTGATTCGACTACTAATGTTCCACTTGGTTTGTTCAAATTCATAAAAGAGAAGGATTGTGTGAAGTTTTATATGTACTGGATAACTTTTTGAACATAATTTATTAATCCTGGCCACACTTCTGTAACTTCACCAGTTTGAAATCCAGCTCCTACTCCTTGTTAGGAGTAGTTTCATTTTTCAGTAATCTAAGAAATATGTGTTGAGTCAGTTGCTATTTGATTTATTTGGCGCTGATTCGATCAACGAAGATTTGCGCATTTGTATCTTCCTTTACCGAATTTCGTTAATTTAAATGTCACTCCTCTGCAGTTCAGTACTGTGTGCGACTATGTGTAGTCAAGGTTGACAAAAATAAACTTGGAGTGATTCCCTGCTTGGTTCTTGCATTTGCCAAAGTACACCAACCTTATAACAAAGAAATATAAAAGGTTAGGACTATTAAATTCAGTTTTCGATGTGAATATAGGAAATTAATGGAGTCAGAGACACTAAACCAAAAGTCAAACTTCCCAATTTGCATATGCAACCTTGACTCGGCTTTGTACATCACAATGGTCCGAATAGTTATTCTTACTGGAATACCTGTCTCTTGAGACTGGCATGCCAAGTGTGTCTTCTAGATAGTGGTAAGACTAGAAGCAGTTTCTGTCATAATGTAATCATACATCCTGGTAACTGAAGTAAAGTCGATTTGGAATAAGTTTAAGGGTAAACAGAAAAAGACTTGGCACTAGCCCATGCAGTCCCTGATTGTTAGTTTGAGTTACGTGGGGATGTGTAGACTCTCCAGCTGAGTGCCTCGATATGTTAGGAATCAATTGTGGAGAATTTAATGGGACTCGAAATCAGTAAAAATGGCGCAGGCGCTTACACTCAATCATCTTCGAAGTCCTGAAAATATTCACTAACCTTGGTCTTCTCAACTCTCATACACTTTTGTCCACTTTAATATCACTTTTTTATCCATTTCTTCTTTGTAGGCTGCTGTGTAATGTGGCAACTTGATCTAATGCATATATATTCTAGGTTCTGCGTTGATTTGCTCTTCTGTCTGATTTTATGATGGGCACTTGAAGGTAAAGGTGTGCTGCTGACAGAAATATAAATGCTGTAAAGTGTTCTTTTCGGAAGCTTTACATTCCATTTTTATTTCCTTCACATTCTAAAGAGGAAATTTTCGAGAAAGTCGGCCGTGGTAACTGTACACTCGTTTTCCCTGTGTTCTTCCGTTGCAGGACATAAGGTTGTTTAAATATGGATTCAACTGTACAAATACAAACATTCTTAGAAAAACCGTCTGTGCATCGTCCTCTATCATATATCCGTTGAGTTCTATGGTGATGTAAAACCAACCAACTTTCTTTCGGATACCTCATGACGACATCAGCTTCTACGATGTGTGCAGTTGGGAAGTATAAAACGCTCACACTGTCCTAATAATATACAAAATGCGTTCAGTCATGACATACCCTCGTTATCTTTTGTCCTTACTTTAACTTTCCATGCCTGTTTTTATTTTACTCAGCTTCGTATTACGCAACCGCTTCTGAAAATCCAACTTGACAAAACAGTTTCTAGCATCCTGATGTCACATCGGCGATTTCAAGTTATGGCTTTAAACCTATGAACTCAATACTAAGTTCTACAATAGACCTCACACGCCGAAACTCTGGGAGATGTGGATGTATACTGTGCGTCTGAGAAGCATATACAGGATTTAACTGTCGTTACTCTCCTTACCTAGTCTGGCTAGTGCAGTGAATATGCGAAGCTTATCCTACAAATGTTAGATGTCGGACGACAACCAACTGGAAACCCTGGTTCTATGTACTTTACACATCAATTATCCCGCTGGTAACCAACTTAGTGTCACCCTACAGGTGTTCGAACTTTGGCTAGCTCCTATGAACTGAATTATGTAGGAGTAGCATGTAGTTCTTAAGCAAAATAACTACTTCTGAACTGAACCTTGGTTGATGGCTGTCTCTAAACTCTTCGATTAAGCGGATCTGTAAGAAATGGAAAAAACCTTGATGCCTATTTCTAGTCTTCATCTAAAATAACTGACTTTCAGATGATAAAGGTCATCACTTTTGCTGCCTGAAAGCAAAACGTTAGTATATGATTGTACTTGCATATGACCTCAACGATCAAGTAGGGAATGCGAACCTATCGAAAAGACCTCTTGGGAATGTTTGCGAAACCGTATACTGACGGAATGACACTAATGATTATCTCTAACAATTTTATTCTGGCAGTCACTTATTTGTGACTAGCATTGACTGCAAACATAAAGAGTGACATTGTCTCACTTGCCAACGACAGGTAACTTGTGAACACTATACGCCATTATTGGAGAAGGCTGGTCGAGAATTGCCACTCTTTTTGAAGTATCTGCCTGAACTCCGATCATGCTGTAATCCGACACGTATGTAACCGCATCATAATGAACGCAGAAAACAAGTAGCGGCAAAGTAATCTGTGTTCAGCTGGATGATGACAACATCAAGTCTCCGTATGAAGGGGAGGGGAACAACAAAAGACTGATAAATTGCCACCAAATGTCTTTGGAGATTATAAGTCTGGCGAATGACTGCATAACCGAGGTACTAGCTAGTGTATAGAAATCAGAGGTAATCCTCCCAAATTAGTATGAATCATCGGTTATTTAACTTTTTCAGAAAGGAGTGAAATCTTGTGATAATCCTTGGAAAATGACTTTGACTAAAATAATTTCTGAAGTATCAGCACCCATAGCCATTTGATGCTCAGCAGTGGAGTAGGTTACAAACTACAAACATTCATCAACAGCTGCCGCCTACGCTCGCTCGCTACTGAAGAGATGATGACCACAAAGAATAAGCAACAAGAAACTCTGGGAACAAACCAACCAACGACCTATCACCCAACAAATATGCAGCAGAAGATGAAAGCGGAGATGGATTGGGCATACATCGAGAAGGCCGACTGGGGACATCATGCGTCAGGCCAGTCACTCGAGTGGAACCCAGATGGGAAACGACGAGTTGAGCGTCCGAGGTAAGGGTGACATGGAGGAGATGGTGTGGGAAGAAATGAAAGCTTGTGGGCAGTCATGGCGTCAGGTTCAAAAGACTGCAGAGAAGAGAGTGTAATGAGGATGTGCTACTGAATCCCTATGTTCCACTAGGAACCCAAGGGACAAATAATAATAATGTAGTGGAGTAGTTTCAAAACTAGGTTTAGCACACATTGAGTTGATTATTGCATTTCGATTGATTTTAAAACACAACCATAATTACCTTCATCGAACATTTTCTACATTCCTCCACCCAGGGGTGTCGTAGCGGTATCTAATTGCGAATAGAATACTGAGCAATATATGTTGCTAAAACTGCTCTGCACTAGCACCTATGTAGTCGTATGAATGCTTATGGAGGATGGCTTTCTGAGGGTACCACAACCAGTGGTTTTCTCTTGAGATCTCTTTTTTCATCTTTGTTATCTTAATTTATTGTAGATGTGACTTTGCTTATCTTGGGAATTCAATTGCTGCTTAGACGTCATCTGGCTGACTTACAGTGCACAGATTATATTGTCGTATTAAGTGGGGAACTTGACTTAAATGGTATGTTTGTCAAGCGTTTGACACCTGTCAAATATAAGATGATATATCAGGATTGGTTTGTATCGACCCATACTTTAAGAACGGGGAGCAAAGTGGTTGAAGGTGTTAACTACTTAGCTTGTCAAAGTTCTGTCAGCACTAATGGACCAGTTGGGGATAAAATCTCAGTTGATACACAAAAGATTCCTTTGGGAAATGGCAACCTACATCACCTTCTGCACCGGCAAGAAGTCTGACTAACTTTCAAAAAATGAGTATAATGTTAACAATTTTATCGAGCATGGTGATGTATAATATGTCGCCTACACTGTTCTTCTCCCTAATTCGACTTTCGATGTTAAGTGGAATACTACTAGGTTATAAGAAAGCTATTGGTGACTATAGAGAGGTCTGCCATCAGTTCATGAAGTCACTGACTCTTAATTCTGCTCGAGCAGGGAGGTGTAGGGGTCCTTAAGACCGTCCGAATCAGTGGTTGGAGACTCTTGATGATACTAATTAAAACCTACCACAATAGTACATATGTATTTACACCTTATTACCCTGGAGATTTCGAGAATTTTTCTAACCTGTATTCAACCATCCTTTCACTTTTTATACACTTTGTTTCTACTTTAATACCATACTGTATATATTCACTTTCTCGTAGTGTACCGTTGTAAGGTCAAACAAACAGACAAAATCAACATAGAACCTCGCACACAAGTGCATTAGTTCGAATTACCATACTTCATTGTAGTATACAAAGAAGAAGTAGATAAAAACCAACTGATATCAAAGTAGACGAAGTTGTATCAGAGAATAAACAATCTGAATATAAGTGCAAACCTTCAAGCTTCGAAGATATCAAGGAGTGAATACATCTGCACCATTGTGACCGATTTCCAGCTGTATGACTAAGAGTCCCTCAACTGCTGATTTCTGCAGGGTAGTCTACATCCCCTCACATGACTCAGACCAACAGTAGGAGACTTCATTGACTAGTGACAAGTCTTCGTCTGACTATCCTGAACCGTCTTCCAACCTAATCCAACTTCTCCCATTAGCATGGTACGTCGAGGTAGGCGGTGGGTCAGCATGCGCAGTCCACATCCAAGCCACCTCAGTCGACTAAGGTTTACAATCTCATCGACTGAGTTACCTGTACTGCCTAGTACACTTCATCTGACCTCAATATGACTCACTTGATGATTCCAGCGAACATGGGGAATGCTATGAAGACATCTGTGATTAAAACCCTGTAATCACTTTATGTCTTCTCATTCAGCAGTCACATCTCACAACCTTATAACGGGGTGCGGTGCAGTATACCGGTCCTTTTATAGCTATGAAGTATTGCGTTTTGAACTCATGCACTTCTGTAGAGGTTTCTACATTAAAAAAATAATGGCATAGCTAGAAAATAAGAGTATACATTCTCACCTATTTGCTTCACCACAAACAAGTAGTGGTTCACATGCATCGGTTATCAGGAGGATTTTAACTTCTTACCTTCACCAATGTTTCGCTCATTGCATTTGGGTAGAACAAAAATCACTTCTGCACAATATATTATCCTTATACTTGCCAACCGGTGGTTTACTGAATTGTATATACTATTCTTCAGTTACATTTAGCTACGAATGTCTTTGTTTTGCGGGAGGAGAGGAGGGTCTGATTCAATCTTATTAGGAGATATTATAAACCGAAAGATACTTCAATGAAGTAATTCAAATTTTTATGACTAATTCCATCTTTTTTCGGTTTTGTAAAAACTATTTCAAAAAATTCTTTCAGGTACCCGATTCACGTATATCCATTGTTTGTCTACTGGAGAAAGTACGCCTTGAACGTGGTACAGGCCCACTGGTAATTCATTGTTTAGATGGAGCTACTCGAAGTGGCCTACTGGCTGTATGTCATCTGTTAGCTGAACGTATGACAAGAGATCATTATGTTGATTTATTTCACGTTATTAAAATCATCAAAATGCGTAGAAGAGCTATTCTAGCATCTTCGGTAAGTGTTTTCAGTAGTAATATTTTCTCTCTAAAATTTATATGTTCATTTTACGCCACTTCTGATTCAAATATTCATTAAACACGTTTAACTATAAATGATCATTTCAAAAATAGTTCATTTAATTACCACTCGGTAGACTTTTGAGTAGGGACAGACACGTGAACAAACAAATAGATGAGTAGATCCAAGGCTAGATAAGCAAGGAAATACACAACAAAAGTGTAAAATCTCTTAGATCTGTTAAGAATCTTGGTGGTTAATGGAACTATGTGATATGAGCAATGTTTCAGGTCCCTTATTACCCATTGGTATTGTTCAGTCAAGATATTGGAGCCCATGAGAAGGCAAGTTTCATTTCATGCAGTTCGTAACTCATTTGATTTTCAAGTTGTCATTCATCGTAGACTGACATCAGTTGGAGGAACAAAGGAAACCTGGGAGCACTGGACAGCTGTTTCGTCCTAGTATTGGACTCCTCAGCAGTGCGCACCCACGACCCCCCCTCCAGGGGTCGAACCCGCGACCTTCAGGTTCCGTGGTCAGCACGTTACTATTGAGCCACTGGGTCAGAATCAGTGGTCCATATTTCCAACTTTTGTTAGCTCACGATGAATAACAACTTGAAATATTTCCAAAGCCCCACAACTCCCTCAAAATTCGTTTGATTTTGTCAATTTTATTGATAGGGTGACAACTCTAAATTCCAGTATACAGCTAGGTGGGGGGGGGAGAGTGGTCACAGAACTTTTGTTCATCCAGTCGACACCTGACACATATACCAGGACTGATTCATCACATATTCCAGATATTTGGAGAATTTTACAGCCATTAAACAAATGAATGAAAGAATGAAGAACTGATGAACTATGTAAAGGAAGTTTTAACGTCATATGATTATTTTGATATGAAAGTGATCAATAAATTCTTCACGAAACGTCATCCAGTAAATTATACTTTCACTGGTGCTATATCCAATAAACAATCTAATATGGAATTATGTTGTACCACAGTGCCCAAGTTTTAATCTAACGTTAAGTCAATGAATCTATCTGATATGGGTGTGGTTTGAAAAACATAATTCAGTGAATTTGAAACGAAAACCTTAGTCAAGTGAAAATTGGAATCATCGATCTGTATGCTTCTTACTTGGCACTCTACAAAATGATAGATTTTAGTAAACTAGAGGAATTTTTTATTCCTGACTTAAATATTGCTTGGTTCTGCACACTTTCGCCAGAAATTTTTCTAGCTGTTGCATATAAATGGACTGAATGATTTTGTTTACTTCCCGTCATAGTGTTTAAATAGTACATCGACAGTATCTTCAGATTCAACACTGAGCAATGAGAATGATATATACCGTCATTTGAACAGGTATTTATACATTGGTCTTCAGGAGAGAACGGAACATATATCTAAGTTTTTTAAAACCAGGACGGTATACAGTCTCATCCTGTGACTCAACCACACGTGTGTGTGAGTGTGGCTGATTGATTTAGGCGGCTGACTTCTAACCGATGGGCTGCGGGTTCGAACCCAGCCCCACCTACTGAGTTTTAGATAGCTAAGTGGTATTATTAGCTATCACATAATAGATGTGGCTAATTGAACTGAGCAATGAGTTTGTCTCAACGAGAGAGACTAGTGGTTTGTTATTGTTCGTAGTCTTCAAAACATTTTGCTCTCCGAACCATCTTACTACTATTTGCTGAAGATGTCGATAACAAGTACTAATAAACGGTTCGATGAAGAAGCCCCAGATAATATAGAATACTTGATTTACTTTTAGCGTGGATTGAATGCGATTGTTTCTTGTTTCTTTTAAGCTATATAAAACTGTCAAGTCTATAAACTAAACCTTTCGTTGGGAGTAAACGATTGGAATACAACATGGTTTGAATATGTTCAGTTTAACCCACGGTGGTGCTTACTTTCTCAATCATACAGTATATATATATCATCTTCAGCCTAAACAGTCTAGATGTCACTTTATACACTGTCTTTCTGGAATGCCTGTATCGTAGTTTTCGTTTCATGTCGTGGGTGACGAGAGTAATTACCTACCACGTATACAAGTGCTGGGAACATATCGTTGAATTATTTTATGAATTTTTAGTGTGAACCGAGTTATTGAAATCAGTAGAAATCCTTAGGAAAGGTATGAAGCGGCTATTCACTCAGTATGTGCTGAATTTTGATGATTTTGTTGATGTCAGTGCAGATCATCATTAGGAATAACATTATGTAGATATTCATCTTAACTTCCTATACCTTAAGGAGACACAGTGTGTTTAAAGCTGATACTACTGTGTCAAGTTATATATACCGTTAGCAGTCTGCACGTTGTTTGGACCAGTTAATCAACCTTCTATATTTCTTTGCATTGAATCGAATGTGTTACTGTGTTAGCTTCTATAAAGTCAGTTAATTATTTGTCTAATTCTTATAACTGATTACAGGATCAACTTCGTTTCATTTATCGTTTTCTTATTCAATGGATAAAAAGTACACTTGCTGAACCTTTAGCCAACTGGACTACACGACAATCTGGTGTAACAAATATATCATCCTCTGGTGATTGGAAACAATGGCAGTGGCCTCAACTTGTTGGTCATTTACCGCCAGATTCACGTGTTGGTATATTTTTACATTCTCAACTTCCAGCATTCGGAGCAGATCAATCAAGTACTACCTTGATCACGGATAAATCTATCATCAAATCGAATCACTTCATATTAGATACAAGTAACAGTAATCGTGGTGGAGATTCACAATCGATAAATACCGGTGAAGAGTATAGTACAACAAATGTGTCCAAAATGATGTCAACTTTATATCGTTACTTTAATGATGAATTATTAGCCAGTCAAAATCCTGGCTATTACACAAATTCTGTACCCAACATAGTTGCCAGTAGTAATAATCCTTATTGTTATTAAAAAATGGCTGAGTAAAGCTAAAGCATCACCACCTACTAAAGGTTGATATTTTTGTATTTACAAAGACTGGGCAAAAATGTTCTGAAGGATATTCCAGTTTCTCAGTTCCTTTTGTTGTCATCTTTTTCATTCAATGGTTGGTGTACTCTGTCATCAGTATGTTGTGTTGGTTTTGCTTTTTCTGTTTTACAGAATTTTATGTCCTCCATTGCTTCATTCCATTCTTCTGTTTCCTATGGATTGCCTATACCATATATTTGTGTACAAAACCCTGTATTCTTGTTAAAGAGGAATAGCTAGATAAATTCTAATTAATTTTTTTTATTATCTTCACTATAGGAAATCTACCCTTCTTCTTACTATGAAACCGACTGACTGCATATTTCATAATTACCTATTTTATAAATGTGTGTCTACTACTCACAACATTAAGATATTTTAACCCACTCCATATATATATATATATATTATATATATATATATATATATATATATATATATATATATATAAGAATAATGTACGCAGACGTTTTTCAAATTGAAAACCCCTTTCCATCTTCTAAGGATTCTTTCCGTAAAAGACAAAGTGTAGATTATCTTGTAATGTGATCGGGAGACTTACTTGTAACATTGATTGTAGCACAAAGAAAGACGAATAAGAGAGATTGCTTAATTTCTTTTATCGTAGGCTATTCAAATTGTATTCATCTTTGCATAGAACATTGTATTATACGCGTAATTTTGTATATATTCTGTCATTATTCATAATAAGTTTTCAGATGACATTTTATTATTATTATTGTTATATACTACTAGTATCACGTAGATTACAACTCCTTACTGAGTAGTATATTAATTCTTTGTACGATCTACTACTTATTATCATTTTTATCTTATACCTTTAAGATATTGTTTTCAGTTTCTATTGAAAAAATATATATATCCGAGTGTGTTTACCTAATGTTCCTCTTTCCATTACCTCTAGAAGTCATTAGATTTTGATGTAAAAAGAATCACCTTTCATAAAATTGTATTGCCTTTTTTTGTTAACTATCTGAGTTTTATTGGTGTTGGTTTCCGTTTTATACTTTGTCTTCCGTTTATTGTATACCATATCCTTGTGTGCGTGTGTTTTATCTTTTCTCTAATACGAGACAGAAGATAATGAGAACTATAACACCAAGAAGTATTGGAACGCAAGATTTGTTTCAACTCTCTGTTTCAACAAAGTTTACTTTCGTCATTACAATTTTGTATACCGTTTACCTTATCCCAACTGTTGGTTATCTTTACTTCTTGATTTGATTTTCACTTTCCTCATCAATTGTTAATCTTTATTATATGGAATAGTATTAATTTCTTGCTCAACCATCTGTGTAAATGTTGAGGATATCAGTGGTGTGGACTACACAGTGTGTTCGTGTGTGGTAACTGTGGTTGTGAGGTATACTTTTTTCGTGGTTTTACGTTTGTATATGAAGCATTCACTGTAAATCATTTACTCTCCTTGTTCTTTTAACCACCTATTCACTGAGAGTTTCTCTTTACTGTTGTCGTAACTGTGTATGCGTGTGTGCATTTCACTCATGCAACGATTTTGATTATATATTATTTAGTTTATTGTATTGTTGTTTTTTCTACAAAGAGATGAGTAAATATAAAGGAGGAAGAAAGTTGGATAACTTATTTCATCACTCACCTTTTTATATTCAAGTGTATTACTAGAAGGACCTGTAGCAGTATCCATATATATGGATGGGATGGTTAGTGTGGAAGAGTGGTCCCAGTCATCGTAGTATTTGAACCAGAGATGTACACAGTTTGCTACAGCCAATGGACTGATAGGTCAGATACAGGAACTAAATGTTTGTTGGTAATCTACAAAACATTTGACTGATACTTAGCATTATCCGTCAGTTTTATATGTATGTATAATGAATAGTCTTTTACTATTACGTTGACTTTGATCAATGATTTCAAAAAATCTTAGAAATCTGTGTCCAAGAGAGGTCCATTAGCAGTGTTTTTTCTCTATCAGGTGGCGAGGAAAGATGACGCCGTATTCCGTCTGTTAGTCACTTACCTTTATGTCGATAATTCAGATTTTTAGGTGATAAGAGAGTCATTTGAAAATTAAGTTGGTATTGGTTTTCAACCAAGATGTAAACACTTATTGCAGGAGACTCCTTATGAGATCTAGAGTACGTCCATGACGTGGTTCTGTTACATGCAGGTACTGACAATATACAAAGTCTACTAGACACCTTAAGTGCTAATCGAGAATGTTTCAGATGCGTTCCCCACTACCAAAATGCAGGTTGTTTCTCCAGGACACGTCTCAGTTGTTATCTTGTCTAACAGTATCGAGTAAAGCTGTTAGGTGCGTTAACCACTTTACTTATTTGAGAAGTTAGATCAGACCTGGTGAGTAAGTGACCAACGAATACTCGGCATAGATAAAAATAGCTTTGTTAGGCTCGCCTGAGATTTGAATCCATTGCTGCAGTCAGAGACGTTACCACTGAGCTATTTGTTCTGCGATTAACCTCCTGTAGGACTGGATTAGGCATATATGTTGGTCACTGGAGAGTAACCAACTTTATGGTGTCTAGACTTAAGTGCTGATCGAATTCATTTCGTCATGTTGCCACTAGGTTAGTTGACTCAACACCGCGATTCACTTTGATCGATATTAGTTGGATGGAGGCAGGAAGCCTTGGATCTAGGATTCGTGCTTGTTGACACTTGATAGAATTCGATCAGCACTAGACAACATGAAGTTCATTACTCTCTAGTAACTAGTCGATGGACCAAACATAAAATGGACATCGGTTCACGAATTTCTCAATTGTTGATCTGAGTCATATAGGGAAATGAAGGCTTCTCGGTTGGGGTCTGTATGACAGCAGAAATCAGTGGTTGGAAACTGACTCTGGGTTGTGTGGCTCAGAATCGATTACAATGGTATAGATGCATTTGCGCCGTATCAACATTGTTATCATTATAACAAATCTTGCTATTGTCCTACCACTGATTACTTTCTTCCCTTTTTCTACTTCTCTTGTTGGTGCTTTTTATGTTGGTATGAGATGTGATAATTAGGACCATTATGGAATAATAGTAAACCTAAAAGCAATAAAAATGTACACTGTTTGTTCTCAAGTAAGACTCGCTAATAACTCCTCATTTACTGATAAGTTACTGTCTGAAGAACATACTAACTATATTCAAAAGACAGGGTGAGTAAATTGACAATATCTGGATTTCCAGATACTTCTCAATACCGTTGTTTCAACCTAGGAATATATGAATATTTTTGTTAGTATGTAATGCAGTAAATTGAACTATTCTCTGTTAGTGGGTAATCGCAGCTATATGTTTTAAGTCCTGGTACTTGACAGTTTTTGATGAAGTAAATTTGTTCGAGGGCTGATCTAAATTGTTGTCGATTACTGTTAGTAAGTTAAAAGTAAATAGTTGTAAGCACCCATTTATCATCGTTAAGGTTCCTCGATCACCAACACATTTGTTCTTCCTATGTATGCATGTGTTTCACATCTTCTAATGAAGGAAACGCCTGAGACAGAGAAAACTTGGCAAACACAAATGAACCAACGAACTGACCGGTTAGGAAATATAGGAGATAAATAACTGAAAAACGACACAAAACTGGTGAATGAGTAGGTGCATGTTAGCAAGCAAATTGCTTGTCAATCTCTTTAATTTGTATACATAAGTATTTTAACAGAACTTTGGAAAGGAAATCATTTCAATATACAGACAAAGAAACAAAGTTAACGTAGAACTTCACATACAAGTACATGGGCTCAAGTTGTCATACTTCACAGTAGTATTATGCGAAGATCAAGTGAATCGAAAAAGAATGATTTCAAAGTAGACAAAGTTTTGTGAGAGAATAAACAATCTGAAGATGATTATTGATTAGTTCAAATATTCAAGCTTTATCAGATGTCAAGGAGTGAATACATCTGCGTCACTGTGGTCGATTTTCAGCCATATCACCAACAGTTCTGAAACACCATTTCCTTTTATCCCCGGAATCCCATTTTTTATAGGAGTTTGTCTTTGCTTATGTCATTTATTTTTGTATTGCAATATGGATTATGGATGGATATCTGTAAAAATTAACCTTCTACATAATATTAGAACTATTCTAATCCATTTTTAAACGCTTATGTAAAAGCTGTAAAGTAGTGTAATTACTTTCTACCTAAATGATAGAGATGAATGAGGTTGGAAGTCTCATATCTCTTGTGTTGTGATAGATTTAGCATCCTACTTCTCGTTTTGTATTGGAGGTTCACTTTTTTTGTTTTATTTGCTTTAAAGTACATAAATCTTTTCTCCCAATCGTCTGTTAACTTGCAGTATTTTCTGTTAACTGTGTCCGGCTTCCTCGCACTTTATTACTAGGCATAGGAGCCTATATGCCATAGTTAGTCATTTTCTCGTCTTATGTACAATGGACCCATTGCATTGGATTTAGAGAACCTATTTTTTTAGTCGAATACAGACACCTACTTACAAATATTTAAAAGTAGTATGATTTCTTGTGTCACTTATATTTTCGTAGTCACTTGTTTCTTTAGCCTATGTATACCCTAGCAGTTACCGTGAATATTAGCAATGGTTATGAAATATAGGTCATAAAACAGAGTATACAACTTATTTAAATACTCGATCCACACAGTTTTTGATATTTTCAAGAGTTTGTAAAGATTTTACAGCTTCATTTCTACACATATGTTTTCTGTGGCGCATATTAATGTATACGAATATATTCTACATCATCAAGTTGCTTATAATACAATAATTTCCGTGTTGGATACTACCTCTAAAATAAAATCCCCATTCATCTCAAAAATAGATTACTATATAATGCTCATTAACAACATGCTTCCAGATGGATATTACGAAGTTCTAATGAGAAGCAGTGACCTGTGGAGTCAGCCAGTCAGAAGGGAAGCGGATGCCAACTG